CCAAAAAAAAAAAAAAAAAAAAAAAAAAAAAAAAACAGAATGAAGAGAACGTGGAACGTAACACAACAAAACAAACACACAAAAACACAAAAAAAGAGACTAATAACAATAACGAGAGAAAAAAAAGAGAAAATAAATAAAACCAAACAAAATACGAAAACCGCACACACGAAGAGAATCAAGTAAACAAAAAAACATATAGGCAGACATAAGCATACAAAAGCAGATAGACACACAGACACACACACACGCAGACAGAAAGACAGACAGACAGACAGAGAGAGAGAGAGAGAGACAGAGAGAGAGAGACAGAGACACAGTGAGAGAGACAGAGAGACAGACAGACAGAGAGACAGAGACAGAGAAGGGCAGTGTGCTTACACTGGGATGGACATTTGGATGGCCGACTGAATTCGGGAAGGAGAAAAAGAGGCAGCAGCACCACACGCGAACCAACAAGCACAGGAGGACGGATCGCCAGTGCGCTCGCAGCAAGCCATCGTTTACCCTGCGGCAGTCACACAATGCGGAAGGACGTGCGTGTTGTTGCTGCAGCCTTGTGGCAGTAGTAGTAGCAGTGGTAGTAGTGGTAGTAGTAGTAGTAGTACTAGTAGTAGTAGTAGTAGTAGTTGTAGTAGTAGTAGTAGTAGTAGTAGTAGTAGTAGTAGTAGTAGTAGTAGTAGTAGTAGTTGTAGTAGTAGTAGTAGTAGTAGTAGTAGTAGTAGTAGTAGTAGTAGTAGTAGGCGCTGCTGTAGATGTACTCACCTGACGGCTTTGATGAGGTTGGGTCCAATGAGCAGCTGGTGCATGGATATGGGGGCGGTCATCGCGCGGCAGGATATGAAGAGCATCAAGCTGGCAGTTGATATAATCTCCACTTCATCGGCTCGAGGTTGCTCATCGACCTCTACGCAGCACAGATTTTGCACAGGCACAACAACGCACAGCCGTAGCAGGAAAGGCAAGTGCGCAGCGCCAGCAGGAGGAACTGCAGACAGAGGCGCTTGGCGGATATTTTTTGGGAGTGCACGACGTTAGCTGTCGGCCTGCACGTGTGTATCTCTCGCTCTCTACAACGGTATCTCGGTTTAGTTTAGCAGGGTTCAAAGCGTCGTCTATTCTCCGAGTTCGCTGCGTTACCAGCAAGTGGCTTCTCATTACGGGTGTCTGCTGTACAGCAGACACCCGTAATGAGAAGCCACTTGAACTTACGGGCGAAATCCATCTCGGGTCGGCCATGAGCAGCTTCAAGAGTCTTGGATGCTTTTCTGCTGCTGGTTGGCGGAGGGATGACGTCCGTAAGCGTCTCTCTTCCCAATAAAACGGAGATGAAGGGGTAGAGGGAAACCAAAATGCCCAGAAGCTGCAGACAGCAGAGCGGCGGAAAGGAGAGCGAGCCGCCGTTTTTTGAGGAGCGGGCGTGGAAGGGGGAGAGGGGGGAAGGGGGGAGTAGCCTTTCACAAGGACCGCAGAAAGAAAACTGCAAGACGGATGCACAGCTGCATTCCAGAGTGGAAGCAGCAGCAGCAGCGAGATCCATCGAAAAGCGACGCTGACAGGGAGCACCTGTCTTAGTAACAGGAAGTGTGAATCCTTCTGACCGGTTCAATGGCGAATATGCAAAGGCAGTAGCTCCCAATACTCGGTACGCTGTTGCTAGAGTTGAGTTGCAGAAAGTCAGCAAAGACTCCGAAGTCTCTGAAGGTGAGGAGGGCCAGATAGAAGGAGAGGAGGCGGACGGTTGTGAGGCAGCAGGTGAAGAGGCAGTCGAGCAGCGGTGCGGAGAGGAAAAACAGAAAGAAGAGAATGACTCCATGGGCGGCGATTAAGATCAAACAAATGCGAGTTTCTATCATTAGCGCGTCCCACGTAAACTTTCCGGAAGCCATGACGTCGATCGTAAAGAGGCGGACTGGAAAGGATTCATAATCCTAAGAAGCACGGGAGGAAAAACTGGAGAGGGAACCTGAGCCGATATTGCGCGGCAAGCGGGGAGTGGGGGGAGGGGGGAATGAGGCAGCGGAAACACAAAGGAAAAGACACGAAGCAGGAAGAGACGTAGCGATATCAAGAACACGAAATTTATTAGCAGGAAACGCCGACGGTTTTGCTGTACGGACGAAGGCACAGCCACAGGACGAATCGCATCTAGAAAGTAATTATATAGAGAGAGTAATATACAAAAGTACATATGATAGAGACTTACACAGTTAAATAGGGGTGTGTGCACATACATCAATATACACAGATTTATACATCTATGTATATACGCATGGAAACACCTATATATAGATGTGTATATATAGGACTCCTCGCACAATGCCGCAGACACCTCTTCCGGAAGGGTGGCAGGTGGACTAGGGCGCGAGTAGAAGCGCGAGATGCTTACGCTATAGAAGAAGAAGACGGTGGATGTGAGTGCAAGACGGCAGATCCAGCTTGCCATGAAAGGGAAGCTGAGGCGAACGCTCTGTAGGAACGTAACGGGGAAGCTGCTGCTTAGCAGGACGGCCGCACTGTGTCGAGATCCCAATTGCTGGAGATGCAAGCAGCATTGTGTGACGCACAGGCAGCACATAGAGAAGCACACGAAATCTGAGGGGGAGGGGAGGGGGGGACGCTGGAACGAGTGATATGGCCTTAGTGCGCTGTGTATGATTGCAGGCGGGCTGCTTGGAGTCTCCCACAGCGTGACTCTACGGGTGTCTGCCTCTCTGTCCCCTGGATCTGATGGTTTTCCTTCGTCTCCCCGACTTTCTCAGTCTGCAGTGCGCTGTCTTACGCGAAAAGCATAGAGGAGTCTCTGGAAGATCTTCCTGACAGTGAAACCTGGGGTTGGAAGGCGCCTTGCCGTTTGACTTGCGGACCGGCAAACTGCAACCAGCCGGGAGAGGCTGCAGCAGCGGCAGCAACAAGAAGAGCACGCAAGCAAGGGGACGTGTGTCAAGCACACGCGTGTTGTTTGCATCGGCAAGAAAGAAAAACACTCAAGATACGGTAGGAGGCCTTAGAGACAGACACACACTACCAGCCACGACAGAAAACAAGGAACGGGGCCCACGCGCACACCGCAGCAGCCGGCATCCCAAGGATGGCAGTTTGGCAAAGGTCACAAAGAAGGGCAGAAAGGAGCAGCAGCAACGCCACATAAGGGTAGGGAGGGTTTAAGTGTATGCATGTATGTATGTGTGTATGTGTGCATGTGTGTGTGAGTGGGTGTAGAAAGATGCATGTGCACAGGTATATGTATGTGCATGTGTCTATGTGTGTCTATGTGTATATGTGTGTATGTGTGTCTATGTGTATATGTGTGTATATGTGTGTAGGTGTGTCTATGTGTATATGTGTGTCTATGTGTATATGTGTGCATGTGTGTCTATGTGTATATGTGTGTATGTATGTGTATGTCTATGTGTGTGTGTATGTGTCTATGTGTGTATGTGTATGTGCTTGCACATAAATACATATATCTATATACAATATATATATATGTATATCTGTAGGATATCGCATCTGCACCTTGCATCATAATCCAGAAAACTTTCCTCAGTGCTCTCGGTTCTTGCGAGTTCCTTGGTATGCTGCTGCCGCCTCCAGAAAGCGAGGCCCTTAAGGGCCCCTTCAGCGGTGCTCTTCCGCTTTTGAGCACCCTCCTGATGACCATGGTAGCCTGTGTCGCTGCCTGCTGCAGCCTCTGGTTGTGCACGCGCTTTCAGAGGCTTATAAGGAGGCCCTTCCCGATCTCTGCGTGCTTCCTTGTTGTAAGCACTGGCAATTGCCCCTACCCGCCTGCGCTTAGACGACGCCTCTTCCTCTCGTGGCAACGCAGGCAGCTCCCTGTCCGCCATGTCTTCGAGTGCCATCACGGCGGCGCTGGATCGCGGCAGGGGAGACCCCTTTGTAGGAAGCTCTCGCAGCGCACTCGAATAGGCACCTCCGTTCCCTCCATCCAACAGCCCCTCCTCCCCCTTAGCCCGCTGCCTCTCTGCCACGGCGCACTGACGGAGGCGAGCGAGCTGAATCGGGATGAAGCAGATGTTCTTAAAAAGGAACGGAGAGAAGCCTGAGGATCGGGGAGCCAGAGACGCACGCCGTGGAACGTTGAGACAAAGAGAGAGAGAGAAAGAAACACACATTTTAAACATTTGAGGAGAGTGCATGCTTCAGTCCACTGCCAAGGCAGGCATATGAAGCAAAGATGAGTAGCAGAAGGCAAAGTAGATGCTGGAGAAGGGAAAGCAGGCAGAGAAACCTCAAAACGTTGCAGGGGCAACCGAACTCTCCACAGTGTATGTGTATACGTGTCCAAGTACAAAACGGAATCTCAAGAGCAGCACAGAACCGAAGCATGCCCTTCCCAGTGCTGAATATGAGGCAAACAAATGCAAGCATCATCCTCGGAGAGTCCATCCATAGACTTCTCCAGGGAGTCACACACGTAGCATGGAGGATCATGGGCCAAACTTACGCGCGGGCGCAACACAAACGCACATACAGCAGCAACAAGGTACAAAATATTTTCTCTCTCTTTCTCTATCTCTATCCCCCCCATACATGCATGTCCCTCTCGCTCGCTCTCGCATGTGGCATGCTTCCCTTCGCGGCGCATGCAGTTGCCTTCCTGCGCCGTGAAGAGAAGCCGCTCCGCCTCCCCTCTTGTGTTTAGCCAACAAGGTCACTTTTCCTCCCCTTCCTTAGGCAACCCCTGGACTCACTGTCACAAGTTGGGTAGTACGCCCACGTGATGAGCCTCAGTCCTAGCAAGGGCAGATCGACAAAGAAGATTCCCACGATGGCTGCGTGCTTGCGCATCGTTTGCATGTCTCCTAGATCTTTGGAGGGGCCTCCTGCTTGGAGTGCTGCTGACCTCCCGAATGCCATACCCTGTGCGCCTCCACCAGCGGAGGGGAAAGAGTAACCGTGTAGAAAGAGCGCGAGAGGCACGAGGATTCCCGCCAGCAAGTGCAGCCAGCTGGTTTGCTCGTAGATAGCTTCCGGGAGAATGGAGTACGCGTAGAAGGCTGAAACGCCATCGATGATGTCGATGACGACGTGTGTCACGGCGTCCGTATGCAGCATGGCGTCGAGGCTGAAGTGAGTGATGCCTCCAAAGAGCGTATCGGAGGCGCGAAAGGCGAGAAGCGCATAGATGCCAGCCCCCAAAGAGAAGAGCAAGCCAACCTCGAGCACCCCCCCTGTCGGCCCTTCAAAGACGACGCCGTACTGAGGACCTCCTCCGCTATAAATGACGAAGAAGTAGACCAAATACTTCACTGATAACGCCCATGAGTAGACTACCCAGCAGGTGCCACCCTCCATGGCCGCATACTCGCTGCTGCCGCCGAGCAGCAGCATGAGGAGAAGCACAATATCTGCAGCTGCAAGAAAGAGCAGTGACACAGAGTAGACTGCAATGTGGTACAAGAGGCCCACTTGCTGCAGTACATACAAACACACGGTGCACAGCTGGGCGAAATGGCTCCAGCTTATCGCCTGCTGCACCTGCTGCCCATCGCCAAATATATCTCCCGTCATCATCTTGGTGTTGCGCGAGGAAACCGGCTGTCTCTCTCTCTCTCTGTATCTGTCTCTCTCTGTATCTGGCTCTCTCTGTATCTCTCTCTCTCTCTCTCTCGCTCTCTTTCCAGGCAACGCCGCTGCTGCAGCTGCCCCTGCTGCTCGCCAGATGGTGCGGCCCCCGGTAATTTACGGACCGAAAGCACCACAGAGAAAAGCAGCAGCAGGGGCAGCTGCAGCTTCAACGGCTGCAGCCGCTGCTGCTACCACCGTTCGTCTTTGCACACCGCTGGGGGAGGAGGCGCTGGAAGGCGACCGCTTGCACGAGAGGCGGTAATTAATGTTCCTCGCGGAAGCGCCACTACCATCGGCGTGTTTGCAGCAGCAGCAGCAACTACTGCTGCTGCAAAGCACCCCTGATCGAGTCGCAGACACATGCAGACGCCAAGCGTCTCTACAGGGGCCTCTTGACTGTGCACCACGCAGCAGGATCAGCAGCAGCCGCGAGCGCTGCTGCCGCTGCTGGCACACATGTAAACTCCAGCAATGAGCCGCTTTCCTCAAGAGAAGACCTCAAGCTCAAGCCTAGGAGGCCAGGATGAGGCTGCGTTGCAGGCTTGAGAAGCTGTCGGTGTGGCGTCGGCTCTGGACTGCGCCGCCACAGGAGCTGCTCACGGTTCCTGTGATACGCGAAGGATTTTCCCCCACATAACGTCCTTTAAAGGGGAAGCATAAAAATGAATGCGGTCGATTTTGTGCTGGCTTGGCATCTGTTACTGCCCTTGTGGCTGTTGCCGCTGCTGCTCGAAGGTCCCCAGTAGCGGGCGGGGGCCCTCCTATTCTTCTTGACCCATAATGCAAAAGGCAGTGCATATTCAAATCCTCCATTGCGGATTCCAAATAGCACCTGAGAATTCAAATCCGTAGATCCCTAGTTCCGAAGCTGTACACTGTAGGCATTACTAAAAACACACAACCTTCATGAAGATACCGATATTCGCAGAGCAGATCATTGACCGCATCCGGAGGAGTATACGGACCCCTTTAGACCCTAAATCCTATGCCCTTAGGCCTAAAGCCTCAGAAGCGAAGTCAAAGAGCCTTGGCGGAAGTGAAAGGGAGCGTGCTAACACTTTCTGCGCTCTCTCCATGCAGCGGAGTAGGCATGTATGGCCTAAAACACTGCGCACTGACTGACAAATCACTGTACACGGCAAAGAACTCGCACGCGCTTCTAATTATCGACTTGAAATGGACCTGTGCCCTTTCTTTGCGAGCTAGCTCCCGCCTTCTCACCTCTTCCAATCATCTTATTTCGTCTCGCCTGAGTGCCGCGTGTTGCTCGTGGTGGTACGCTTCCATGCGCCTATCCACGGGTGCCAGCGAGGCTGCAAGTGCCGATGAATGAGGAGTTTACTACTTGAGCCACCAAGCATCCGCGGTCACAGACAGTCCACTCTATGTCTTTCGCTGTACCCCGCCCTCTGGCGCGTGCGAGCGCGTGCGCATCCACCCTCCTAGGGGCCGAAAGTAGCAAAACTCGAACGGCAAGCAACTACACTGCTAGGTGACAAACTAACAGCAACAGGCACATAGGCCACTGGAAGAACACAGGGGAAGACACTATAATTAGAATGCCGGCGCGTAGCACGTTGCGCGTCCAAATTGTGAGGCGCCAACTCCTGTATATTGCTGTGCTCTCTCTAGCTTAAAAAAGTAAGTCTTTGTTGAGGCTTCGCCGCGTCTGTAGCCCTTTTCTTTGCTTCTTCTACAGGGACTACACCGAATTCAAAGTTACAGTCCTCTCGACAACATGTGTCCTTCGTTCCCGCCTTTTCGTATCTCCTTGTTACAGCTGAAGGACTTACTATTCGCTGCCTGCCTAGCTGCACTAACAACAGTTTCAGCTTGCGTTATCGGAGTGTATCTCCATTCTGCATGGGAATGGGAGACAGGGCGAAGGGAGGGGGGGCCCCCGTCTAGGGTCACCCATCCCCGGCATTCCAATACAAATCCGGGGCCCCCAGTCCTCGCCTTTCCAACATTTTCTTCCTTGCGGCTGCAAGGGCCTCGTGGGCTTCCTCGGCTAGTACCTTGTACTCCTCAGGATACTCCGAAAGAGGAGGCTCGCCGCTTCCTTGGGAGGCCACAGGACCATCGGAGGCTCCAGTGGAAAAGTACATATTGGGTACAAAAAACGGGGGGCCCCCAGTTGGCGGCAGCGGCCTCAAGAGAGGCCCTAAGGAGCCGAGGGCCTTCTCTTCCCTTCGGGTCGGGTAACTGGGGGTCCTTCTAAGAGAGGAGGCCCCCCACCGGGAGGCGTCGGCGTCGGTGTCCGTTGAGCGGCAGCTGTGCAACAGCACACCGTCTTCATCTGAGTTCGCTTCTGCTGAATCGTCTCCCCAGAAGCGAGGCGGAGAAGAAGGGGGCCTTTGGCGAAGGCTTTCCCCCACACTGGCCGAACGGCGGAGATGGGGAGGAGGAGTCCCCCTTAAGTGCTTGCTCTCCAAGGTTCGTGATAATGTGGAGGGCCGAGTGGGCCCAATGACAGCGGCAGCAGCCGCGGTAGGGGCCCCTGCACTCTCGGGTACTATGACGGGGTGGCATTCGTGTAGCTCGGCAGGATCTCGCCCCTCAGCACTTACACTCCTGGGTGTATTTAAGGCTCCCGTGTAGGAGACGTTTCGGGGCGTGCAGGGAGCTCCTGAAACCAGGTGTGAAAGGAAGCCATTGAAGTCCAGGGGTAACGCAAGCGCTCCCAAGTGAGCGTGGGGGGCCCCCTGCTTCAGAGCACTCATCTCCATATACATCTGCGAGGCGTGTGCCCTCAGTTCATTCCTGCAGAGCCGCAGCAGAAGTTAACAGAAGACAGAAACGAAGAGCAGCGAAAATAGACCCACGAATAGAGCTGCAGCGAAAAAAACACTGGGCACAGAGAAGAGGGGACAAACTGCCACGTGAATGAAGCGCAAGCGCACACGCTGCAGCTGGCGGCACGCTGCAGCGTGTGAGCTCGAACGAGGGAATTTTCAGCTGGAGAAAGGTTTATTTATGGGGAGTCGAAGCCTTGGATCTAATTTACCGCGTGGTTGCAATCGCCTCCGCGAGGAAGGACCATTGGGGGCCCTCCAGGATACCAAAAATCAACACCTGCAAAAGAGTGCGGCCTTCGCAAAATGCTGAAGTTGGCCTCTATGCTTCTGCACACCGAAGCGCGCAGCAGCGTGCTATGAAGTCTGCGTGTTGATGCAGCCTGACCTCTGAGGAATGCTGCTTGCTGCAGCCTCCTGTGGAGGCCTCCTCTGAAGAGGGCCCATCAGCAGGGGGCCCCCCCAGCAGGCCGCCAGGCATGCGCGTTGCCACAGACCCCAGCTCGACAAGACGGCGCCCTGCAGCTAGCAGACGCATCAGCGGGCGGAGAAGAGAAGACACACGCAGCCAACAGCGTCTGCAAAACAACCATCAGAGTAAACACACACACACACACACACCCTCCTCTTTTCTCCTTCTCCCCAACAACGTATCCGATGCGCTATCCATCCTACGGTCTGTCCACAGCAGCAGGCAGAGCACAGAGCTGCACTTTCGAAGGGCTGCTAAGGAGATGAGCTTCGACTCAAAACCTAAACCTTACGAGGCGAGCTGGGTAAGGAAATTCTCATGGACAAGCCGAATCTCCTCAAAGTCATGCCTCCCGTTCGCGGTTTTCTCTACTTCGTCGAATCCAGGCTGCACGCACACTAGCCTCAAGCCTGGACCTTCCAAATACACAAACAGCTGTAGGCGTCTCTTTCAGTGTCTCTCCATAAGGAGGCTCACCGACATACAAACGCCAAGACAGGCTGAGTGGAGGCGCTTGAGGCCTCACCCCTGCTCCGCCTGCCGAGGCGCTCCTAGCGCCCACAGGGATGATCCAATATCACAGCGGCAAAAAGCGTGATACGTCTTATCAGCACACCTCCATCTCTCACTAGGATCCCCACCACCACCAGGCAAATAGAAGCGCATAATAGGCTTCAAGAAGGCAGGGGCCGTAGAAGGCATTTCTCAATCCCCTTTGAACCCGTCTCTCCCTTTGCTCCTCCCTCACTTCCTCTCTCTTTACTCCTCCCTCTCCCCTCCTGCCCCCAAACACGTAAGCCTCTGATGGTTTGCAGAGCAGACAGTCGCTCCACGTGGACTCTCTCCCGAGAGGCAGGAGGGGCCCTCCAACGGATCCCAAGCTTACCATAATTGCGTAGTACTGGAAGTAGGCGTAGATGCGGGAAATGTAAAAGGCCACCTCGCCCCTCGCAGCCCAAAACTGTCGGCAGACATTCACGGGGTCTCCCTGAGGCGCGCTGGATGCTCCAGGAAAAGTCTTTTGGGCAAAGACGATGCGTCGCCTCCGCGAGAGGACCCTGCGGGCAAACGGCAAAGGAAGAATAAAGCGATGAGTTGGCGTGTGTGTGGCACGCTGGAAGGCCTCGTTTTTTCTATGAGTGATGCACAGAAAATTTGACAGGTTCTCAATAGATACAGCGAGATAAAGAGAGAGGGAACCCCGCATGCAGAAGAAAGCAGGAACAGAGACGAGAGGGAGACCCCGTCTAGGAAAAGCGCCAACGCGTTAGCTGTCCCCGTCTTACTTTCTCAGAAGGCAGCCGCGAAGCCACAGGTTTTGTAAATCGCTTTCAAGCGTCCTGCAGCAGCAGCAGAAGCAGCAGCAGCAGCAGCCGTGGCTTGGTGCGCACCGCGCCGACTGTTTCTAGCTAGCGTTCTTGGTCCTGAGTTCGAAGGCGTCGGCGAAGCACGCACCGCAGTTGCAGCAGTAAGGAAAAAAGCGCATTGTACGACTCGATTGCAGTGTCGCTCAGCAGCAAAGGGAGAGGCCAGGGGGCCCCCTTCGGGTCCAGCTGCAGCCGCGCAGCGAGAATCTCAGGAGCGCCTGAGTGAGGCCCTGCTGTCGAGTCGATCGACAGTTGTTGTTGTTGTTGCTGCTGCTGCTGCAGACTACGCAGCTGCAGTGGCGGCTGCTGGGCTTCGTGATACCACCGGCGAACTCGGATAGACCTGCATGCATCCAGCAGGCGGCATTGCAGTATCGGCAGCAGCAAAGACGCAACGAGCATACAAGACTCTCCCAAGAAGGAGCAACAACACACGGGACTGACGAACGCGGCAGCAGCAGAAGGGGGAGTACAGGGCCGTACCAGTCAGAGGCTTCGAATGTCGGGGGAACGTGAGAGGGAGACAGAGCTGAACCGCAAAGAAGCAGCAGCAGCAGCAACCGCAGGACCCCTTTGGCCGCAGCAGTGCGCAGGGATGTGGTTTCAGATGCATTCACGCGAAATCGTCTCGCGCAACGCTGCTGTGGTGGCTTGATGTGACACGGCAGAACCTCCTCAGAGTTTAGATCTGCCTTATATCCAGCCAGTGGGCAGCCCGAGGAAGAAGAATGATCTACGTGAAACACACCCGGTGCTCCCGCGTCTCTTCGTTCCACTGGACTGTGGGCATACTTGAGAGGCAAAGTGAACAGCCTGCGAAGCGCAAATGAAGCAACAATCTGTCGGGGGAAAATCTCGACAGACGCGCTTGACGGCCTAGACCTCGAGCCACAAGAAGCCTCCCCAAGGGGCCTTTGCGCGCAATAAGGCCCCCCTTGTAACAGGGTTGAGACGCAGATCTTCGCTGCAACCAAGTGCCGGCAGCAGCAGCAGCCGGCAAAAGTAGCCCTCAAGGTGCCTACCCAACGTAAGCAGCGCCCAGTCTAAGGGAAATTAGGTTCCGTAGCTGCGCAGACACCGCAAGAGAAATCTCAGCTTTCCCTTCCAGCAGGTACACTGTAACCGGCTGTTTCTTTCAAGAGGGCCTCGCACCACGCCGCCAAAGAACGCCGCTAAAGCAGACTCCTTGAGGAGCACACACGTAAACAGGAGGCACTTTTCTTACATCAAAGTCAGACACCTCTAAGCAGGGGGCACCTTCTGCGTTGTGCCGGAGGGCCCCCAAGAGCTGCTGCTTCCGCTGCGGGCGCTGCGTTCCTCGAGTCGCAAAGACTCGCAGCCGCCGCTTCTCTGCCGAATACTCCACTCTGCAACATGCAAAAAGCACCACCAGCGGAGGCACAGAGGCGCGTCAGAAGCAGCGAACGCAACACAACAACGTCGCTGTCAACGGAGCAGCATTTGCACCACGTCCTGCCTGCGCAACTACTACACGCTGCAGTACACTGCAAGAGGAAGACTGCAGGCTCCCACTCGACGAATATTTCTTCTGCATCCAGGGGGGCCCCCGATGGGAGAGACCACGTCACAAGGCCACGTCTAAGAAGCACAGCCGGGGGGGGCCGGGGCCCCGCAGGGGGCCCCTCACGCGAGACACAACCGTCCTTAGTAGGTGGCAGCGCCTGCCGAGCAGTCGCCAGTAAGGCCCAAGGGTGTGCTGGGATCTGCTGCTGCTGCTGCTGCTGCTGCGTGCTAAAGAGAGAGGCAGCGGCGGATTCGGGAGCTGCACGAGCAAAACTGCGCTCGAAGAGAGACGCGAGGGCCCCCCCCCCTGCGATATCAGCGAACGCACAGAGCACACGCAGCGGTCCCCACGGCAGCAGAACCAACAGCCGCAAGACTTTCCGGCCCAAGCACTACCGAACTGCACCCGAGGGAATAGCACCAGCAGCATCACCACCAGTACCACCACATCACAGCAGCAACAAGCATGCACCAAGAAGGAGGTCTGCCTCAAAGGCCAAAAAGGCCGCTGCCCCCCTTGAAGACTCCTGCCCAGAAGAGGGGGGAGGAAGGATTCCCAGCCTGAATTCCAAGCCCACGCAGTCTCCTGAGCACACCACCACCGACCACGAAGCTTTATCCGTAAACGCAAACCCTCGCTCCAGCTTCTGATGTTTCGTACAAGACACGCTCACGCGTGCGGCTCGAAATGCGGAATTCACCCAGAGAAGGCCAGAAGAAATCGCAGAGGCTGCCCCCGCACTGAGCAGAGTTGCTACTTCCTTGGGAATTCGCGCAGCCTGGTGGAGGCCCCTTCAGGGATATGGGCGTTCTGTTGCTCTGAAGCACAAGGGCCACACAGGCGCCCACTCCCACAGGGGACCCCCCTGGTGGGGGCCCTAAGGGGGAGGCTTCCTGGGGAGCCTCAAGACGAAATTGGAATCCATGCTGCGTCACACGCAGAGAGAGAAGAAAAGAGAAGGACCAAAGCGTTTCTGAGGAAGCCAAGACGGCTGCCCATTCAAAGGGCCCCCAAAGAACCCCAACAACTGCCATCGCCTCCGATTCATTCCATAAGTCTTCCAAACGACCAGACCATGCAGCCTTCCCGCAGGAAAGCCTGAAGCGCCTCCTCCGCGGATATCCAGGAGCCTGACTGCGAAGGAGACCTTGCAAGGCCTACCTTGAAGCCGTGCCTCAGCATCTGTCTCTCCGGGTGCATCGCCACCCCAATTGGACAGCAGCTCTCCGAGGCAGAAAAGGCGTGGGGGCCCCCCCCCGAGTGCTGCAGCAGAATTTCCCCCCGGTCCATCCTGCGCACGCAGCTCAACCCTCCCTCCCTACAGACAGACCATAAGAGCCAGCCTGGTGGATGCCGTCACTAGTCAGACACTCAGGCAAAGTGTCTAATCCGTCGAGAGCGACACAGTGGAGCCTGAACCCCAGCAGCAGCAAAAATCACACCTGGCTGTGCCCCTGAGGACGAGGTCAGCCTCGGTGAAGGGCGTTGCGCGAATGGTCAAGGGAGGCTTTCCACTGAGTTTTGAGGGCCCTAAAGCAAACCCTAGACACTGCAGAGAAGGCTCAAGTAGCGGCCCCCAGCCTTCCCCTTGGAAGGCTCTCCCCAGGCTTCCTCCACTTCCGAAAGTTGCACTCCACACTCCTGCCCCTGAGCCGCTCTGTGAGTTCCTAGGCGTTGAGCAGGCTTGCGCAGCTCCGTCTGCAGCACACAAGCACCACGAGGCAGCTCCTTCAGGCCATGCAGCGAGGAGGGTGGTGCCGATGAGAGACATGCTAAACAAGAGGCATCGGGCTTGCTTCCAGGAAGAATGCCTCTCTACCTTGCGGTTCACGCTGCTGGCGCTGCTCTAGCTGCTGCTGCTGCTTCCGCGGTGTCTGTGCACCGGACTGAGGGGGCCCTCGAGATCCTCCCCCGCTAGATGCCACTGCGAAAGAAGGGTTGGTTTGCGCTGCCGCAGTAGCCCAGAGGCCCCGAGTGCGCAGAGCCAAGGGGCCCCCACGCAGGCCCCTCTTCTCCTCACAGGGGCCCCCCCCCAAGAAGCGGCGGCTGCTCTCCAGGAAAAAGGTGAAGAAGAGGCCTGGCGATCGCAAACGGAAGATCTTTGGAGCCTACACATCTTGCAAGGAATGACTGGGTGCGCGTGAGGCCTGTGCTAAGAAGAGCAGCGGCGAGAGAGGCAGCTCTCCATAAGCGGCGGCGTGACGCAGACTGTGGGGGCCTGTAATGCAATGCAGGGTGCAAGGGCGCTGAGCCAGAGGGGCGAAAAAATCCACACAAGTGGGGACAGACAGGGAAGCAAATACACCCCGATTAGCACAGGCGGCACTTAAACGAGAGAGACGGAGGGACGCAGACAGACCGTCTCCTAGGAGATAGGCATCTCTCAGAGCCTTAAGGCTGTGGAAAAGATGGCCGCCTTCCGCCAACGCTCCCCATAGCAGGCGCGAAACCTGCGAAGGCAGAAGACGCGCAGCAGCCTCAGATGCCGGAGATACGAAAAAGAGGCCTTGGCAACTTCTCCCCTTCATTACCCAGCCAAACAAGCAATGACACACGAGGCACACGTGGAAGGAGCGACCTAAGGGAATAGCACACAAGCGACCTAAGGGAACAGCACACGAATGGGCCCCTTGAGGTGTAGACACTGCCCGAGAGAAAGTAGTCTGAAGTATATCAGCAAAATATCCAAAGGCCAGATAGGACTGGCTGCCTCAAAAGGCGAGTCAAGAAATGAATACGAGAAGCTTCTTTGTGCTGGCGCCTCCGCCACAGTCGCATCCACGCGTTTGTGAGGCCGTGCAGAAGAGCTGCTCACAACTGCCCTAAGTGCCTTTAAGCAGGGGAGAATGACTGCGGCAGGTGACGAGGGGTGATTGAAGGCTTCACGCTGAAACAACAGACACATTTGGCACCCTAAAGAAGAGCTCATCGTGTTGGTCCTATATTTGTTGACGAGGTCGAGACCTCGACTTCAGCCCGGAGACGATCCCCTTTTTTTTTGAGGATATTGCCTTCTTCTAAGGCCCTTCCATCCCCCCCTTTTCGCTGCTAGGCCTCCTTTCCTGTCAATAATAGACCCCTTAGCCAGTAACCCGCGCCACTGACCGTCCGTGTCTCTCTCTGTATCTCTTTGTCTCTCTCTGTATCTCTTTGTCTCTCTCTTTATCTGCATCTCTTAATCTCTCTCTGTATCTCTTTGTCTCTCTCTGTATCTCTTGTCTCTCTCTGTATCTGCACCTCTTGATCTCTCTCTGTATCTCTTTGTCTCTCTCTGTATCTGCACCTCTCGGTCTCTCTCTGTATCTCTCTCTCTCTCTTTCTCTCTCTCTCTGTTTGTGGAACCCCCCCCCTCGTGTACTTGCATGCCTAACTTGCATGCCCTCTAACATGGATTTTTTGCTGCCCCTAGCTTACCAGTTGGCGCGCAATAGGAGCCAATTTCTGCCTTTGTCGCTCCCCCCACCGCCCTCCTCTGCTGAGCACTCGAGTAGTGCGACCGATGAATAGTACAACACCAGCCGCTGCCGCTGCTGCGGTTGCTGCGGCTGCCGGGGCCCCCAGAGGGGCCCCCCCAGAGGAGAAGCAGCAGAGGGGAGCTCCCCGTACAGACACCTGGAAGAGCCGCCCCCACTCAAAGAGGAGCGCATCTACGGAGAGCGGCTCCTTCAAATCCTCCGCCTCCATCGGTGCTCCCATGGCGTCTGGGAGGCCCCTCGTAGAAGACAACACCGTCGCTGCCGACTGCGTCGTCTCTAAAGTTCGGAAAGGAGACGGGGGGGCAATTCCACGAGAATATTCCACAGCGCGTCGAACGATGAAAAACTCCCCATATGGATCCAACAGCTGGCCGGAGAGGAGCCACGCTGACAGCTGCATGAGGAGAAGTGCGCTCAAAGTTCACACAACACATATACACGAACATACACACACACACATATACATATACATATATATATATATACACATACACACACACATACATATGTATATATATACATGCATACATATACCAAAAAACGCGCGAGTCACAGGGGCCAGAGGAAGCACAGCATTAGACTCAGCAAAGTAAGCGGCAGGACCTTAAGAAAATTATGATCGAGCAGGTGTCACTTTACACAGCGGCCGTCTCTGCAGACAAAGAAGAGACCTCTGGCTGCAGTTTCCTTACCCTTAAATGCAGCCGAATCATTCTCCTACCATAATGAGCTGGCCCTACGGGCGGCTCTCACCTGGAAACAGAAGACTGCAGCGCAGGCGTCGATGAGGCGTAGATACACCTCACGAGCCACTGGATCTCCGCTGCTTCGGCCCCGCCACAACATATCCAGAAGTGCGCCGCACGGCAAGGGGCCCCCAGCACCAGCGGCCGCAAGCGACATTGCACAAACCTGGGCAGCAGGCGCAGCACCCACCCAACAAGCCCCCAATGTGCACTCTACGCTTCATGCTGAATGCTGCGCTTTGGTTGGGTGTTTCACACTCCTGCGCGAAATTTCATGTCTAGCCTAGCTGAGGGCGTACTTGTGGGCTGAGGGCGTACTTGTGAGAGAATGTATCTGAGAGTGCGCATGCGCTGTGGCTGGTCCCCGAGAGCCAACGAGATAGCAGACAGGAGCGTCGCTTGCTGCTGCAGCGCTGCATCCTCGGCTGCAATCAGGAAAGAGAGGTACTCATCTGTTAACTCTCGAGAGGCCCGTGCCAGGGCAGCGAGGTATAAACCTCCTGCCACTGGGGGTGATGTTTCCGCGGCTGCTTGCGACGCTGGGACCGCTGCTAAGCTGCCGGAGTGCCATTCGAGAGAGCCGTTGAAGGGGGGGCAGCCCGTGGACGCTGGAGGTGGAAAGGTTCCCGTATTTTCCGCCGCCTTTATGAAATCCTTAACCAGCAATAAATCGTATCCCGGCGCGACGACTCTCTCCAGAGCTTCTACCTCGCTTTGGCTGAAGCCGCTCAGGCTGGGATTAACGCGGAATCCACCCCCATAGGCCCCGTGAGACTCCCAGAGACAGGGCCCCCTGCTCCCCGCCTCGGTTTCCGTGTGCCCTTCTTCTTCTTTCCGTAGGAAGGCTTCCCCGTCAACGCGGACAAAAAGGTCTCCAGGGTAGCCCGCCAGGGCCATTAGAATCTCCTGCAGCATTCTGTTTAGCAGTTTGCCCTCTTGGCTCGACGTACAACACCCCCTGAAAGGAACGACACCCACGCGGGGGGCCCCTCAGTCTCGCTCGGAGTGTAGGGACCCCCAGTCGGCATACGCAGCAAGATGGCGCTGGTGGTGAATCAGAGGAGAATCGAGGGCAGCAGCAGCGACCAAGGAAAAGGGCCCCCAGCAAAGCGCATGGAGAGTGGTTTTCGCGTCGGCGGAGGGGGGCGGGGTGGGAGAATTGGGGGCCTTGCAAGGGGGGGCCCCCCGGTCGCTTCGCCGCAGTCTGGGTGGAAACACACCGAAGCCCGTATCCTAGCGAGACACAAGCATTTTAAAAAGAGATTCTCGGTGAACGGACACTCCAAGGCGAGGAGGCTAGCAAGAGCTCAGTTTCCCTTCCCTCATGTCGAGGTGTTTCGTGTGCCTGGCTCACCCCCCCTTCGGTCGCGAGGCAGAACTCTGCAGGAAGGACTTCTTTCTTAAACAGCATCCCGACCTATCTGAGCCTTTCTATTTCAGTAATAAAGCATGCGATATACACGTGCAGCTATTTCAACGCACACTACACAATGGAGGCACTTCGGTGCATAATACCCATACGTGCGCCGCTACAGCTAACAATGGCCAAACTACGCTTGGGCACCGTCCATTGCCCTATTTGTATTACATTTAGACTTCATTCGACAAGGATCTTTGGCGTTTGGCTAGTCGTACGAGCCCTTCGTCTCGCTGTCGAGTTAGCTCTTCACTGGAACCAACACCAGATACAAGTGTGCCACACTTTGCTATAGGCATTTGGATGTGAAGGAATGCCCTTAACGCATATTGGGTGCCACACGTCCGTGCATACGAGCTGGTTCTCTCCCCTGTTACGCCGGGACCCTGAGACGTGAGGGCAAGGCGTGGGGAAGTGAGCTCTTTGAAGACTGAGATCTTCGAACTTTCTAGTTCTGAACTTAACCCAGGGCTTGAAGTGTCTTCTTCTGGAGGCTTTATAGAGGTCGCGTTAGAGATGTGCAGTGCAGGTTTTCGGATACAGTCGTGCGTGCGTCGGTAGGCGAAGCAAGCACCAGGGACTCTTTTTCTCTGTGCATTTAACATGCCGCCCTCAGAGCATCAGATAGAATAGCTTACAGTGCTCCCTGATTGTGCATGTAGTCGGCTCTTTCCTTTACAGGGTGCTCCTCCCTCACCGAGGACCCCTTGAGTTACCACTCCACGGGCAGCCAGTCTGAAGCGCGTGACTCTGTCATCGCCTATTGCGCTTTCTTTCTGCTTTTTATGTCGCTAAGCGCCTGTTTCTGGGTCACTGATGGACTATTCTTTTCTAGGGCTCCAAGGGTGCGACACTTCAATGCCTTGAAAGAGGTAGTACACTGGGAAGTCACGAACAACAGAATCAGCGAAAAGAGGCTCAGAAAAGATGCCCATGCGGGGTCCACCCTCTTGGGGCCTTTTTAGGCCTTATGGCCTTTGCGCCGTTGTGACTATCGCCTTGACAAAAACTAAGTGGCTTTAGAACTTCTCCAGACCTGCTGCATCTCCAGGGAGCCCCACTCCCTAGGTGGCGCTGTGTGTAACGCGGAGCCAGGATAGGGAGCCTCTTCGCTCATGTCACAGTTTCTGCACTAGCCCCCCCAAGAGGGCAGGAAACCATTACAACCCCGTTTTCAAGGCATCAACAGCCCGTTCCTGCCCTCTCTAGAGACCAGCACCCACTACTTCTACTGTGCATGTCATTTTGGGAGGGTATTTTCTCGCCGGCCCCTCAGCCTACGATAATTCTGTCACATGTTTCGCGCCTCAGCCTATGAAAAACGAGGGAAGTCTGACGATATCTGACGGACACCTATGCCCCCACTACGGAATACACAATTACCATATTCCGTGTCGTTGAAATCAACAGCCTCCGTGCTTTGGCATCTCCCTCCCCGCGAGACTTGGGTGGTTCGAAACCATCAGATTGCTTTGGTTCATCGAAACATTGCTTGGTGACTTGTCTAGTCCATAGCGAAGCAGGAGACTGCGCTGCCTAGTATTTGTTGTAGGCTGTCGGTCGAATAGGATAGTGGGGTGAGCTTGCTGTGCCGGGCCCCTTCCCGCAACGCGAGACGCTTCTGCCGTTCTACACCACTGGGGCCACATAATTACTCTGCCTCCCTATAGCACTCGTTTATTCCCTGTTTTTCACTGCATACTATGTGTTCTTTCTGCATGGTTTAACCCCTTTTTGCTTGTCCACAGAACGTATACTCTGATATAGGACAACAGCCATGAATGCATCATGCACAAGGGGGTAGTACATCGAATTAGTCCTCGAAAGCAAAAATAAAACCCATTCCGGGAATTCCGCCTTAGGTAACTTTAAGTACATCATAACTGGCGCAGCGAAAGGTACTGAAAATGAGCTCTCCACAAACATGAAAGTAACAAGAAATGGAGGTGCCTTTTTCGGTACATGAACCAGCTACACGCCCACATGAGCACACAGGCTTCCAGGAGTCACCTAAGGCAGTCCTGGGAAACTCATCCAATGCGCATACGCACTTGGATCCAACTGATCAAATAGTAAAAAATACTGAGTCCTTCGGCTCAATAATGAGCGTGTAGTAGGCTAAGCTACACATTGCTGACCCAAGAACCACTGTATAGAATTGACTATTTGGTTTGCCCCTTTGTGATACTAGCTGTGAACGATTGGACTGTTTAAAGGATGCAGCTACGCACACCTTAGCTGTAAAACTCCCTTTAATGTTGGCAACTCTGATCATGTTGACTGCAAAGTACTGTCAGCTCGATACAAGTAGAAGCCATGTTGTTTTCTGCAACGCCCACGTGGACAGCATTGCGTTTTCTTGAGCCATGCAAAAAGTACCCTGGAATGACCAAGATATAATCACTGACACAGCATTACACAAATCTATAACTCAATCGTTCACCAATGTTCTTCTCGAATATAGCTAATGAAGATAGTGTATGCGCGTAGCTTAACCCCCTATATCTTCGCACCCCCAATTTAACCACACGAACTCGTGTTCCGTACCTGTGCTTTGAGAAAACCAAGTGCTGGACAGCGGAAGAGCGCCCGCCCTAGCGCCACTCCTCAAACAAGCGCAAACACGAACCAGTGCAAATGACAAAGGCGAATGAGTGCGTCAACCGGTGAAGTAAAGCTGACGAGAATCAAGCACTGACGAGGCAACAACGAACGAGGGATAATGCAATAGGACCGCGGCAGCATGACGGTTTGCTGAAACGTGTGTGTTCCGTTACGGCAAGACAGAAGACGAATAAATGCTTTTAGAGAACTTAGAGTACATATCAGTCTAGCTGTCCCTCCACGCATTTCAGAGCAATGCGTGCATGCAAATGTAACCTATGCATGCAAAGGAGTTGGATCAAAATCCAGCATGACACATACGAAAATATGTAAGGACAAGTTATTTGAGAGTGCCTGCGTACCGATATCTGAGTGCCCAGGACACCGTAGTAATTATCATTTTAAAGAATACCCATAGATGAATGTGGCTGTTTCAGGCAAAGCATGCGCTAGGGAAGGATAAGTACCAAGGAATGCAAGGAAAACCGTTTGTGGCGTCTAGCATCTTAACCATACAGTGCCGTAAGGTTTTTGGCAGCCAACGAAGGTGACATATGAATCGGTTTAATTTTCTTGTTGACGTCGCCCCCCTCCCCAATTACACAAGAAGCTATCGTCTAGTGCGTCATCGGCCCAGAAAGTCGTAGAATCCAGCACACTTACGCCTCCCTGTTGATTCTCCACGTCCAAGTGGGTCGCTTGCCTGCACGAATCTATGATTAGGTTGGTGAATTTCAAAGCAGTTAAACGTTGCCTATGTTGTTAGATATGTGGCACATTCAACTCATGGGGTGTTTCATAGTAAAAAGAAGCATTGATTTGTGGGGGGACGGCAAGCATTCCTATTCACCAGGCCGCAAAATTGACTGTTGATCACCTACCTCTGCATCTCATAGAGCCTGCTGATTCTCCAGGACCATATTTCTAGGCTTGGAACGCACTGCCGACGCCACTTTATCATTTTAATGCGCTTGTACCTCGTGAGCTTTGCGCATACACTCGCGTGCTTTAGCCAACTATTCTCTGGACTCCTCCGTTCTAGGAGTAGTTAATGACCCCACATTACTAGGTCCAAGCACAGTTCGGAAATCGGCGCGTCTGTGTCGACAAAGGATGCAAGAATTCAACGGGCGCATGCGTGTACTGCTGCACTCTTAGCCCACTGAGCACACAGAAGGAAATCGAGCTAAGCAGTTGGATTTGTGTAAGCGCTGAGCTGCAAGAAATGTAGAAGAATGCGGTTGGTGAGCTTTCTCTGTTTATCTGCCTTAGGATAGCTCGCAGTGGTCAGATCGCTCAATGTGTAGGCCGGTCACAAAGGCGCGGCAGAGTGCACTGGAGAACTTCAAATTTTCAATTGTGAATATACCCTTCGAATATCCATAAAGCCTTCAAGCATAATTAAAAATTAGCTGAGGGGATTCTAGAGCCCTGGAAGGTCTGGAGGAAAATGGAAAATGGGCAAATTTTGCTGTCTGTGAACACCGACGTAGATACCATACAGACACTGGGTCTCTGGCAGTCCAGTAAAAACGCCTCGATTTAGGTCAGTAAGATTCCTGTCAAAAACGGACGATTAAGGGAAGGTCTGTAGGCAGAAAAACTGCGCACATCTTCCTGCTGGTTATCTGGGCATGGCAGTCTACATTTCTCTGCGGCAGCACGCATCCCAGGCCACCAGCAGGGCCGGGAGAGCTCATCATCTCAAGTGTCACCCTTACTATGACCAAAAAGAATTGGATTATGTGCTTTTAGCAAAACAGCAGTGCATCGTGCAGTCGGAATGCACCAGCAAGAGGACCCCAGCTTAGGTTGAAACCACAGCAGGCCATCATCAACGAGGTAATTCCGCTAACCCCGTTTTCATTCTAGAATTTTGCAGTATTTTGGAATGCATGGGTTTCAAAAGATAAGACTGATGCAGCTTAGGTGTAAACTGTAGAGTACCGCGTGCAAGCACGGCTGCGATACACCGTGTTGCATCACTGTGTCGCGAGAGCTCATCGGCGACCACATCAGTTTCTGCCCCTCCTGTACTTCCCTGAGAAGTCGTGCTGCAGGCGGCGCATAAACTAGCGAAGCACGCTAGTACTACCAATGTCCTAAAACCTCTTTGGTACGTACAATGAAGCTTGATGATCCGCCTGTACAGTAAAGTGATGCCAAGATACAAAGTCCCTGCATTTTTTCATGCCCCACCACACAACGTGGATTTCCTTCTCCTGCTTTGGATACCTTCGCTTGATTTCAGTGAAGCGGTGAGCATGACGAACAAGATTCGATTATTGGAGAGCTCATAGGTTTTCGAAAAAGAATAGAACAAAGCGGGATGTCACTAGAATTGGCTGTAGGAAAGACTGACTCGTACCATAGGGCAGCGCAAAAACCACAGGAGTTGTAATGCAGCCGATCCACGTCCTTGCTGCGGCACCAGCCTCCATCATCCGACTTATACACTTTGTTTTCCTCAGTGCCTCGGTCAAAGAAGCAGTTATCTTATCGAGCTCAGGAACCCAACTTTGGTAATGCAATGCAAACCTATGAACTGTGCAAAGTCCCTGTGGGTGCGCAAAGCTAAAGGACGCATCTTGATGGTTTCACTTTTTGGATGGATCTGGCTTTCCTCCTGCAGCCCACATACGGCTTCTCAGGAATGAATGTTATGATTTTAACGAAAATGTGCTTGACTTCACACACCACTGTCCGTCCACCAACAGCGGGAGGGCATGCCATAAGTGCCATGGGTGCTTTTGAACGTTTCGGCTGGCTGTCGAAGCATCGGCTATATGGATGGCAATCCACCCCTTCTTAAGGCTTGTTGATATCTCGAATGAGCTTGCAATTGCATTCAGCTGGGAGATTAATGGGTCCCAAGCTGCATAGAGGCATTCTCGAGCTTGCGAATGTGAATGTAGAGCGCCGTTTTATGCTTGTTATCAGAGCAAGTAGCGATTTGTAAGAAAGCGTCTGTGAAGTCTAAGTCGAGTAGATGGTTGGCCGGTGCACCTTCTCACGTAATCCGCTAGATAAATCACCGAAAACTTTGTTTTACAAAACTCGTTGTGCGTTTGTCTACGTTGTGGCTTTTAAGAACCAAACCTGATTTCTTGATGTTTCGATCTATTGATAGATGCCCGCACTTTACCGTTTTGGATTCTCCCAAAACTTGCGGTTGAGCTGATCTCGGCACGAAGGAATGAGTCAGGGCTTGTATTAAGGCCTGTTCTGTAGTAGTCCTGACAGGCAAACGATTTCATTTATAGGAATAGGGCTCCGATTGAAGCCATTCTAAGCTATCTTAAGGATCACTCTCGCTCCTCTTTAAATAAAAAAACACAAGGAGGCACATCTCCAGCCAGCTGATAGGATCTCCAAGTACTTGCCCATTCTAAGAGCCGTCACTTCTCTAGTATGCATAATCCTATAGAAGCATCCATAATTATTTTATCGGCTAAAGACGTAGGCCCTTCTACCTGCCCTAATGCTGCTGCGTGCACATCGCAAAGGCAGGCAGGACTCTGCTGTCCCAACATGCGTTGCTCCACTGTATGCTTCCAGAGGTAAGCTTTTCCTCTTCTTGGTGCCAGAAAAAATGAGATCACTGAGATAACAAAGGCTTGATCGAAGCCTGAGAACTACTGCAGGGAACCTGACACCCCCTTGCATCCACAGCCAGTACATGAAGAGGGGAATACTGCGTCAAACCCTGCAGTGCCACTTACCGTGTTGCTCTACACAAGTTCTCCTAAAAGGACCTAGCTGCAAACCGAATACAACCTTAATAGAATGTTTTTGCGTGTCATCAGTAGCACTCCCTCCTTGCGCTGCTCGCCCCTCCGGGTTCCTAACATGGGGGAGGAGGGACAGCTAGGGTGCGAATAGCTTCTCCCTGCAAACACTCCAAGCATTCACAGTTGGTTGCACATGGCACGTACCGCTCACCTGTGCGTCTGCGTGTGTGGAGCTAACAGCATTCTGCGGTTGGAAATGTAGACTAATAGGTAAGCCAGTTCGTCCATTCTTTCCTAGTCCTAAGCAAATTATATTGCGCGTTCTAAGGAGTCTTCAACTGTAGCTTTGCACTCCGCAGGCTCCCTTCCGGGCTGCCGTCTCGGCTGCATTGTTGATGGCAAAACCTCTCGTGGGGCCCCTCTCAAGCTTAACGGGAGCGCCAGTTGGTCGCAGGCAGTGGATTGGCAAGCGCAACTTAGAGAAGGCGTCATCCATAGTGGCAGCAGCACCATATCGCGTATCCAGGATCTGTGTTCTCGCATCCGTGTGGAAGTGTAGCTGCTTCTCGTGCTACAAAAATGCAATTTGCAGCAGTGCCAGCTCCGACTTAGGAATTCGTCTTTTATATACGCACATACATATACATATTTGTGCATGAATGCATATCTGCTCGCACCAAAAGGGGACCTATACAAAAAGGGGCCCCCTCCTTGCTCCGCTCAGCTACATCTCTGCCCAGCAGCAGCAGCTGTTGCTGCTGGCCAGTAGCGGCGGCGTACCATGAGTGAAAAAGCCCCATATGCCGCTTGCGAAAGGGCTTGCAACCTTTTGGTTCATGTGCGTATTTTATTTAATTCTTCCGAATAACACGAGACGAAGAGGACCTCTACTTGCAGACGTGACTTTGCTACTGCAACCCCGTGCAGAGCAGAGGTACGTGCAGCTCCCGTCTTCTCCGTTTGGCCCTTGCAAACCTAGCAGAGGCAGTTCATTCGCCCCACTTTGCCTTCTGCTGCCTTTAAAAGGGTCGGAGTACCCTGGTGGGTGCCCCCTTGCGCAGTCGTGGTAGATAGGGTAGCCTGCTGCAACATTGAGTAATGCTCTTCCTGTCGCGTCGCTCCTCGAAGGGGGCTCGCTCCTTCGGAGTTGTGTGCCATGAGGCTCTTGCGTAGTAGACTTTTCCTAGCGACAACTTGCCCCCGACTCCCCCTCTCTCTCATTCAGTTCCCTACCTGCCATTTCTGCAAATGGAAAGGAGGACCCCCTAGAAGCCTCCAGCACTTTGCTACTCTGATAGAGGGGCCTTAGTGATTATCGGGAGAGGAGAGGCCGAGGTTGCTTCCGCTCCAGCTTTAGACTGCATCGCGTCTCTTCCTGCCGCAAGCGTTCTTAGTTGCCACAGACTGCTGGTGGACCTGCATGCGAATTCATCTTGGTGTTTCCTTGCGCTGCAGCACAGACCATGAGTGTCTGCCTTCAAAAACGGGTGCGCCACATGCAGCTGCTGCTAAGGCTGCGCATGCCGATGCAGCCGCTGCTGCAAGTGCTGCGCTGCGCTGCGCTTCGGAACTGCCTGCATGCCTGCCTGTGTATATATATATATATATATGTGTGTGTGTATGTGTGTGTGTGTATGTGTGTGTATTTGGGTGCAGTTGCTTGCGGGGTTTGCCTCTCGGGGCACCTGCGTAGTTTCAGGATTTGGAAGGCCCCCCCAAGTTGTGGCCGTTTGGCCTAAGGAGGCCGTGCAGCAGCAGCAGCAGCAGCAGCAGCAGCAGCAGCAGCAGCAGCGCGCACTGCTGTTTTCCTGGCGCCAGACGCAGGCGGTGCAGCAGCAGCTTCCTGCTGCTGCTGCACGGCCTGCGGTGTATCTGCATGGTTTTTTGTCCACGAAGCGGCTCTTTCATGGTAAGAGTGCTTGCTCCGTCTGTCGGTTTGTTTTTGACTCGAAGTCGTAGATAGAGGCGTATTGCTTCGGGGTGTTGAGGCTCTTCGGCGTGGATTTCGTGCGTCTCTGTGTGCAGCTGCTGCCGCTGGCACTTACAAAGTAGTGGAGTGCCCGTTAATGGGGGATTCGATCACCGAAGGAACTTTGCAGGAATGGAAGTACAGTAAGGCTTCGTATTGCGCAGGCGCCTTTCGCCTCCTCTTTCAGGAGGGGAGAGAGAGAGAGAGACCCTTTGCAAATTTTTACGGCCGAAGGCAGGGTGCTCGAAGCGTTTAAGCTGCTTGTACGGCGTTGGCGTGTGTCAATGTCGACCTGGCTTGTTGTGTGCAAGCAGCGGCTCTTCCACTTTCTGGCTCTCACAGCTGCGTCTCGGCGCGTGTCAATCGCCCACTTGCGCTGCAGATGTGGGCTCCTACGTACCGGAGGGTGCACTGCTTGCAGTTGTGGAAACGGACAAGGTAGCCGTCGAAATCAATGCAGCGGCTGCTGGGAAGCTTGCCGAAGTGCATGCGCAGCCAGGCGAGACGGTTTTTGTGGGGAAGCCCCTATATGCAATCGATACGAGTAAGCAAAGTCTGCCCTTCTGGTTGCATCACCTCTACGGGGATGGAGCATCCCCGACCGAAGGCCTTTTTCCCTGTTTGTCTGTCTCAAATTCTAGCGCCTACTGGAGGGAGTGTGTTGTGCTGTGGGAAGTGCTGTCGGCGCTGGATGGCAGACACTTGGGCTGGGGAGAGGGGGAGGGGTAAAGAGAGAGAGATAGAAGCCTTGCAGGGAAGACGGCAGAGGCAAGCCCTCTCTTTTTCTTTTGCTGCTGGGTGTCGCGCGCGCAAGGAGCACGCGCCATCCATGCAGATACAGACATATCCCTAGGCCTACTACCCAGATGCAGCTATATGCACCAATTGATGCGCGCAAGTGTCGATGTGTGGATATTTGAGGTTTCATATTCAAGAGACATGAATGTTGGGGAGGGGACAAAAATACTGCCCAATATATTTAGGGCCCGAGGGAGAGTGGAGCAAATGGTCGGATGTATGGGGGCGTGCCTATATCAGCAACTGGGAAGGCGAATTAGAAAGAGAGCTTATTGTGTTTAGCAGGGGGGAGAACACGCACGCGTGTGTCTGGAGCGTATCTTTGGCTTGTGCATGTCGTGTGCTGTGACCTCCCATGTGCAGCCTCAGCGGCTCCTGCTGCTGATGAAAACGGCAAACCAAACTCCGACGCACCGCCATCCGCTGCTTCCAGCACGCCTCCTGAGCCGCTAGCCGCTATGAAATCTTTCCCCGCAACGCCTCCTGCTGCTGCTTCTGCTGCACCTGCTGCTGCTTCCTACGGGCAGCCGTCTTCGACCCCTGCTGCTCGCGAGGGTGCCCCTGCACTAGACACCCCAGTGCCAGATTTGCAGCCTTTGCAGCAGGGACTGAACAGGGTGGAAAGGCGAGTAAGAATTGCATGCTGCTGCCTTCACACATACACACAGTGCTCGGGAGTGTCTTCACTATGTGGCTGCGCCGCGTTCGCCTCTTTGGTGCGCTCTACGTCCTCCTGGCTCTTGATGTCGATATCCGTGGAGCAAGCACCACTCTCTGCCGTGCCGCCTTTATTCGCCCCCTCGCAGGCTCCCCCCCGCTAGTTTTGCTGCTGCTGTTGCTGCGTCTTTTTATTTACCTAAGCGCCTCTTTCCCTTCTTTCCCCTGCGCGGCGGCTCTACTACTACGCCTCGCGGGAACGCCCCTATTTGCCAGCGGCCTTTTCTAAATACAGCCCTAAGAGAGGCTTTCTCGAAGGCACTCCATTAAGGTGCTCGTTCTCAGGCTTCCGCTGTAGGTACCCATGTCACGACTGAGGCAGCGCGTTGCAGTCCGTCTGAAGGATGCACAAAACACGGCTGCCATGCTCACCACATTCAATGAGGCAAGCACGCACTCCCCCACTGCTGCTGCTGCCGCAATTTGGCGGGTTCAACCTGCTTCAGTGCCCCCATGACGGCTTCAGCCTCTGTGACGGCTGCATGCGCGTGTGCGACAGTGCGACATGGGCGCCCTTATGGCGTTGCGCAATGAACTGAATGGAGAATTTCAAGAAAAACACGGAGTCAAGATGGGTAGGTTCTTCAAACGTCGCCGCTTGCACCGCTACGCTTTCGTGGCTGCGTCCTCTTCAACCCCGTGCCGGCTTCTTTACTTGGTGTCTCGAAAAACAGACCCTTCCCTTCATCTGTGACTCTACCCCAGCTCTTGGCAGTTTGCTTCCATGAGTTTCCTAGTTTGCTTCCATGAGTTTCCTAGTTTGCTTCCATGAGTTTCCTAGTTTGCTTCCGTGACTTTCTTGGCTTTGATATCGTGCTCCTCCTCCTTCTCCTCCCCCCGTCCTTTCTCCCGCCGTGTGCTACCTCGATAAATTTCCCTGCCGCAATGTGTCGAATCCACTTTCTGGTCGGTGCTGGCTCTCTGCACTGCCCTCCAGCCTCCGACAGCCCGCATGGGGTCCTCTATCAGGCGTGTTGGTCCTACCTTTTGTTCTGTGTGCCGTGCAGGCTTTGTTTCTGCCTTCATGCTGGCTTCAGCCCTTTCGCTCAAGAAATACCCTGCTGTGAACGCAGGTACAGCATGCAGCAGCCTTAGCTCTCTAGGACATGTGCCGCCTGCCGCGCAGGAAGCGCGGAAGCTCCTGTTTCTCGAATTGTGTGCTGCAGCGTCACGCAGTGCCTGAAGCAGCGCTTGAAAAGACGTCGCCGTGTGTGTGTATGCGTGTGTTCGGTATCGCTCTTGTGGGGTGCTGTGCACACCCAAATGCTGCCGCGCGGCCTATTGGCAGAGGCTGTCCTTTCGAAGACCAAGGATGCTTCTGCTCGAGGGCTGCTGTGCGGTGTGCGCTCCCGCAGTGATTCAGGGTAAAGACGTAATATACAAAGAATACGTAGACATCAGCGTTGCCGTCGCTGCACCTTCAGGTCTTCTTGTGCCTGTCGTGAGAGACTGCCAGGCTAAGGCCTGGCCGCAACTCGAACAGGTATTAGCATCTCGAGAGTCTAATTAGAAGGTGGAGCTGGGAGCTCGAGACTACAGACCCCTCTCCTGCGTCGTCGCTCCTATGGAGAGGAGTGTGTGGCACTAGCGCATCCGAATCTGAAATTCTGCTGCTTCGAGATGCGGCTGTGGGTGCGTGGCGGCCTTCAGGAGTTGGTGGTGCTCGCGAAGAAAGCAAGAAACAATCAGATTGCTCTCGAAGATATGGCGGGTGGCACCTTCACCATCTCCAATGGTAACTAGGTGCCCTGTTCTTGTCTCACCATGTATGATTTCTTTTGTCTGGCACCGCCTGTGTCGCAGAGAGGCCGCCCCTTCGCGGAGGCACCAGTTCCGATGCGCAGGCATGCGCCTGCCCATGCGAATGCGATTTGGGGGCTATACGCGTACTGGCTGCAGGTGGAGTCTACGGAAGCATGATGGGCACTCCGATAATCAATCCCCCGCAGTCTGCCATACTTGGTACTTCTATGCGCGTGCTATTGTTGTTGCTGCTGGTGTCGTTGCTGCGCAGGGGGGGAGGGAAAAGAGGTGAAAGAACGGATTAAATTGAAGTGTGATCTTGGCTGGGGCAGTGATGGGAGCTGCCGCTGCTGCTGATGTGGTGCTTGTGCCAGCGGGTTGCTGCGTTTCTACGAACTCCCCACCGTAGCTGTTGCTGGATGTGCTGGGTTTCAGGCATGCACGGGGTGACACAGAGGCCAGTGGTTAGAGACAATCAAATTGTAATTCGTCCCATCATGTACGCGCGAGGCCTCTCTGAACGCAACCTCCCAACGCCCCTCGATCCCCCAGTGTCTTTCCTCTGTCTCCCTCCAATTCACTTGCCTGTGCCACCACCGCGTCTGCCTGTGCGGTGTCTGTACACTGCCCGCTGGCCTCCTCGCGGCTTTGGCACACGGACGTAGCACCCTTGCGCCGAGCGCGTTTGTTGCAGGTACTTAGCCCTAACGTACGATCACCGGCTTATCGATGGGCGTGAGGCGGTTCTCTTCCTCTGCAGCATCAGAGACTATATCCAGGACCCTAGGAGAATGCTGTTGGGCCTATAAGCAGGGTGCCTTCCTGAATTTCAGAACAAGGCTCCTTAGCCTGTAAAGAGGGCGTTTTCTATAGTTAGTGCGGTATCCATTAGGAGAGGCTTGATGGGGCTTGCGTCTGACGTATCACGCTACTCGACTACTGGTGTAGGTTTTCCTGCTCGCGGGAAGGTACAGTGCGCAAGCACGTGCTGTTGAGGCGGCAGCGGGTAGGCCGCTTCATCAACGAGCTTGCCTGTAGCCATTCGGACGTGGAGCTCCTCCTGAAGTACAGCCGCGGAGGCTGCTCTGACGCGTAGGCGTGAGGAACCTCTGCCCAGGGTTGCGCTGCTGGCGACTGCGAAGAGAGGTCACTCCTTTAGGGCAAGCCTCCCGGCGGGAGACTCAAGCCAATGCACTTGCAATGCTTTTCAAGAGGTTCATTGACTGAGGGACCCTCAGTTGCGCTGCCATATAAATCCCGCCTTGGCCAAATGTGTACCTAGAGACTCTAGCGTCCATCGGGTGTCAAGCAACTCTGCTGCCCGTTAGGAAGCTCCTTAGCAGTGGCTATGTTTCTTCTAGACGCAGGCGGCTCAACCGTCTATTTTTCATATAAAATGCCGTTTCAAGAGCTCTCGTGCTTTGCAAAGCTGGGGAACGAAGGCCTCCGAGTCAGACCTGCTGCGTCACTGTTACTCCAGTCCCCATCGATGTAGCAATTCCTGATTCTTAGCTACCCTTCTTGGGTGTAACGACACCCCGTTGGCCTTGGCAGTTGTATTAGTGGAAATCAGCAGCAGAGAACAGCTTTGCGCCCCTGTAGATGAGGGGCCCTGTTTGCCGGTTCTCCCTATCTGCAGCGGGGGAGCTACGTTTCATGCTTACACTTTCTAATACACGTTATACATACTTCACTAAGAATAGAAGAGTCGATATTTTAGTGTGCGCTAGTAAATCTTTTGTATAGCAGAGGACTAGCCGGATACAAGAACACAGAATGTTTCGTTCACAGCCGCTCCTTGCTGCGTGCAACTAGCTGTGAATGCTCCGAACGCTTAGAGGGAACCATAACACGTATTCTAGCAATCGCCTTCCCCTCTTGTTGGCTGAAGGGCTCTCACAGAGGAGGGAAAGGAGCTCTTAAAAAAACTTTAGTATATTTGTTACTTTCAATTGAGTCAAAAGCCAAACACCTCACATTATTACTTGTCCCAAACCCAATGCGTCACTGGTGATGAAGGCATCAAGTGTTGATCCAAAAGAGATCCCTCCCTTTTGTGCCCTCCCGCCGCCGCTATATATCTATATATATATTATGCTTACGGCATGTGGGGAGGGAGAGGGTGGCCTTACCAGGTTCTGTCGGCGTTGATTTATACCCTCTACGCACTCTGAGCACACACAGCTAGTTGCATATAGCGCCAAGCACCCACGCACATAACAGTGGGTCTTCTTGTACAGAGCTCGCTGTACACTACGATGATAGGATATGCAGGCAGTCAAACAAACTAGTCAATTTTTAACTAATTCCTGGTGTAATCTAATCAGTGGAGTAGAAAGTGTAAACGTGTGGCTTAGCCGCTACCGTTGTTCCGGCTGCGGCCTGCGGCTACGTAGTAGCTCTCCTGGCTTGTGAAGGTGGACTTGACACTGCTCCTCGGATATCTGGGGTGTGGAAGGATAAGTTACTGCCCGAGATACCTTTGGACAGTCACCCTTCTGAGCCTTTTGTTTTTTCGAACGCCTCACTAAAATCGACTATACGATTGGATGTTCGTACATCCTATATATGTATTTGAATGCTTCCTTCAAAATGCATGCCTTTACCGTATGCATTGGTATGGGTGTGTTTGATAGATTATTAGGAGTACCCTGAGTATGCAGTTAGCTTGACTCCTCTGCCTGCCCCATGAGTCTGGGGACCTGTGGTCTTTTGTAGTTCTAGGAGGCAGAGCTCCTTTCTCTACTAAAACTCAGCCCTTTCCAACGATGGCTTTAATATTCTGGATGCAGCCTTCATGTGTAGCTCGAAAAGGTGTCACGTTGGGGCAGGCGCACTTCGCTTCGTGACTTAGCAGGGCAGTGTGCATAGAGACCTGCGCGCCACCACAGCTGCGCTTTGGCTTGGGTATGTGGCTTAATAATGCAAAGTAGAGCTGCCTACCGATACCTCCGAGGAGATGCAGGCAAATCTAGTTAGCTACTCCTGACAGCAGCTGGCCGAGGCCTGTGTGCAGCAGGGGTCGCACGCGTAAAGGGTAGGGTGTTTACCGGGCTAGTAAGTAAGCGCGATGGGACCTGTGCCGTCCTTTCTCCAATGAGCAAGTGAGAAGAGATTTAACAGAAAGGGTAGAAGCCCCACCAGCTACAAGGCAGATCCTAGTAGGTGACCTGGATGGTTTCCGTGGGTGGTCCTGCTTGGTACGCAAAGAAAGACGACTATGCATCTTCTTAATCGTGCTTTAAAAATGCAATTGTGCCGGAGCTAAAGGATCCTTTTTTTCTTTAAGCAATGATGTTACCCATTTAGCTCGCCTAAGATTGGTCTGGTCTGGGCTGGCCCGGTCGTACAAGGCACCAGCAACTGAAGGTAGCATACAAGGTTTTATTTCGTAAAAGCTGCCATAAGAAACATGATTTTTACATCCACACCAAATCAAGTAGAGGAGACTAGAGCGCAGGAGAAGACAAGAAGCGGGTGGTCGTCCCTGGTGTATTTGCTGTTTGGAGGAACCCCTCCCGACCGTGCGAATACGCAATGAGCACACACACCCCTCCGGCGTCCTATCTACCTACATAATGCTTCTTCTCTCACTTAATTGACATGGGAGAATTGTGTCGTCTTTTTTCTTTGGCCGCTGCTTAACGGTTTTTGATTTCTTGCTTCCTTCCCTCAGTATCACCGCAGGGTCACTTCCTTGGGGGTTAGGTATTTGCCACCTGCAGGTCGGTTAGTTCGCCTATTCGTTTCCTAAATTTTTCAGATTTTCCTATTATTTGAATTAATAGTAAAAGCTCATTAAAGGTCAGGACGATGGAAGGAGCGACTGTGCGCCGGAGAGGCACTTTGGTGTCAGTTTGTTTGCTCCTGATGCTCGTCACTCCCTATGAGGTAGCAGCGAGGGGCGACGAAGATGTGATGGATGCAGCAGAGGATTGTCATTCTGGATGGAATCTCATTAATGGGGAGTGCGTCAAGGAGATCAGTAGAAAACCCCTTAGCCCATGCCCCCATAAGGCTTCTTTTGAGGTGAGTGCTGTAGCTGCTGAGTCTGGCGTGTTCCCGTTGCATGAGTACGAACTCCTGTTCTTCATATAAAATGCACCATTTGTTGTTGCAATCGACGACTTTTAGGCGGTGGCCGCTTCGGTGCATCTGTCGGTGTGTTTATTTTCAGGATGGGGAGTGCGTACTAGAGCGTGCAATAAAGGCGAACTTGAGCTGCGGACCGGACCAGCAGCTGGTGGGCGACAAATGCGAATACGACGAGAAGACGGTGGCAATTTCTTCCTGTCCGAAAGGCTTCGTGTTCAACGGCGTGAGCTGCAGCAAGAGTCACGAGGTGGTGGGTGCCGTTTCTTGTCCTCCAGGCTACAAAGCGAATGAAAGCAGGGAAATTTGCATTCGTGAAACGAAGCAAAAGGCCTCTGCCCTTTGTCCACACGGCTCTCAGCCTGTCGGGCATGATAAGTGTCTGATGACCGACATGGTGGCCCTTTCCCGCAGCTGCAAGCTCGGATACAGTCTAACGGATAGCGGCTGCGTGAAGCTGGAGTTCTCACGGCCAGAATTGCTATGTGCTCCTGGATACAAGCTGGAGGGCGGGGTGTGCCGGTCTAGCCAGAAGGTGATCGCCAACGCGGTGTGTGCTCCGGGATACGAGTTCAATGGCAAGGACTGCATGAAGGTCTTCATAGTCGAGCCGACCCCCTCGTGTCATCATGGGTATCACCTCAGCGAGAACAAGTGCATCAAGGTTCTTGAGAAGGACGTGATCCTTCTGTGCCCCATAGGCTCCGAGCTCATCGAGGACAAGTGTGTCAACAAGGAACTGCAGAAAGCCAAGACGGAATGCCCTGAGGGGACCTTAAGCACGACACACAAGGGGAAGAGCATCTGCGAAAGCCTATCCTCCAATCCTCCCTCGCTCTCCTGCAACGGCGACTCGCTGCTGGAAGGCGAGCGGTGCGTGAAACGCCTGACGGGGCACACGCACACTACTTGCCCCTTAGGCTACAAGATGTCGGGGGACGGTTGCATGCGGGAGGCTTACGTGACACCCGCGCAACTCTGTGCGGACGGCCAAGTTCAGAGAGATGGGCATTGCATAACCGTCGAAACAACTCCAGCAAAGCCACACTGCCCTGACGGCGAGCCAACGCCTCAGGGTACATGCGTCAAGCTGTACGCTGCGGATCTCATCTACAACTGCCCTATGGGTTTCAAACTCCTGAACAACAGCTGCGTGCGAAAGACACACACGCATGCCGCTTCCACGTGCCCTCTAGACACAAAAATGCGGGGAAGCGACTGCATCGTTACGGAGAGAATTCCAGCAAACAACCAGTGCGACGACTCCCACCAGCCCGACGGCAAGGGTGGATGCGTGCAGTTCGAATACAAGGCCCCCAAGAGAAGCTGCCCTAAGACGCACAAGCTCTTCAACACATACTGTGTGCGAAAAGGGGGCTCCACGCTCTTCCGCGGAGGAGCCATCTAAAGCAGGGGGGGTAGGGGGATACCTAGTGTTAGCAGCAGCAATAGGAGTAGCGTCAGCAAGGGAAAAGGACAGTGGCAGCCGCGGCTAGAGAGCGAAGGCAGCGCCGAGCCTTGCAGCCGAAGCACCCAAGCCCGGTGCAACTCCCGCATTGACACGTTGTTGTAGTTTGACTTTTTATAGTTTCCAAGCAGAGTGAGTGCATGCGCAGCGCCTGCCGGAGATGCACCTGCAGTTGCAGCAAGGAGCTAGCGACGGCTGCTGTTGCAGCGCCTGCAGTAGCGTTTCAGCAACTGCTGCTCCTGCGGCGCG